CTTATTTGTAAAAATAAAATGTAATATATATATACTTCTAATTATATTGTATTATTCTTATAAATATAATAAAATAATAATAAAATATATTTTAATATATTTTATTATTGCTCTATACACACTATGCATGATCAGACTAGGGGGGTTCAGAATTTTTTTAATGATTTAGAACAAATGAAAAGTTTATCACTGATCTCATTCAAATTTAAGCTGTGGCTTGTGACCCTCTCGTGACCCCTGCAAAGAGCCACCTGACCTGTGCTGATCCACTGGAAAAGTTCTCTTTTCGTTCTTCTTGTAAAGCTACTTGTGAGGAGGGATACACACTGAGAGGAGAAACCACACTCACTTGTCTGAGTGACGGCAACTGGTCAGCACCAACACCTGCATGTGAAGGTACTGTAGGTTTAACTATATTTCAATAAAATAATCTTTAGTTTAAACCCTTACATTTTTACTTTAAACCATTGCACCATTTGGAATGTGCAAACCTTGTGTCTTGCAAACATATTTTTTTGTTTATACGCTCTTATGCTGTTTCCATCTTTTCAGTTATAAGATGTGATGCTCCGGAGTCTGTTCACCATGGCTCTGTGCACTGTCAGGACCACCTGGGGGAGTTCAGCTATGGTTCCTTGTGCTGGCTGGAGTGTGGCGCTGGATTTACTTTAAAAGGAAGTAATTCAACTTACTGCACCTCACAAGGGAAATGGAGCCAAGAATTTCCTGTTTGTCAAGGTAACCAAACACTCCTGATAATCTGTGATGCTTAAATACGAAGAATCTTGGGTGTCTGAGAGATTTAGGTCTGACTAAACAGACCATAGATAAATTACTTGTATTGTAAAGATTTCTAGTCTTGTGCTAACATAAATAAAGGACAAAGATTTAGCATTGCCATCTTTCATGTAGTATAATGTCACAGTACACTCTTAAAAATAAAGGTTCCAAAAATAAAGGGTTTTCGACAGAAATGCCATTAAAGAACCATTGTGGGTTCCCCAAATAATTTTTAATGGAACAGTTCTTAAAACAACCATTTTTTTAGGTTGAAGAAGTTTTTAATAATATGGAGTACATTTGTAAAATTAATTATTTACTTAAAGTTTTTTTAAAGAGTGTATGACATTATCATAGATCTTTTGATTCTCCGTTCAACAGCACAGCAGTGCAGCCCCTTAATTGACTCTTCTCATGGTACTGTAATCTGCACTCATCCTAATGGGCAATTCAGCTTTGGTACAGTGTGTGAAGTGAGCTGTCAGGCAGGCTTCAAACTGCATGGCACGCCCCGAATGGAGTGCTTGGAGATGGGGAAGTGGACAGACACCCCACCCTTCTGCTTGGGTAATCGCTCTTGGGTGTTCCTATTTCACCTCACCTCAATTGTTCGCGCATGTCATGATGTCTCATCTTTTGAGATCTCATATTCATCTGTCACCCCATTAAAATTCAACTAGATTGAATTAAGATAGTTAATTTAATAAATAAATCTTAATGTCATGAAATGAATGATGCAGGGCAGTTAAGTATGTCTGTTGTTTTTTTTTTTTTTTTGCATAGCTCAACAGTGCCCCCACTTGACTGCTTCAGAAAATGGCTGGATGAATTGTTCTCATCCTCACTCCCTGTTTAGCTATGGCTCCCAGTGCTTCCTGGGATGTGAGACTGGCTTTGAGATTACAGGAGAGCCAGGCATAAAGTGCTCTGCTTCTGGGAACTGGAGTCAGGAGGTGCCCTCTTGTGCTGGTATCTACTTCTTGGCAACCTTCTTTGGTTAATTTTTTGGGAACCAATTCAAGGAATATTCTCTTTAGGTTCTATTTTCGTAAAAAAAAACTAACATTCTCAGAATGTTATGGCAACCACATTTTTGTAAGCTGGGCTTCCCCTGTTATTTATACACTGATAAATATAAAAGCCTTGATCAGACCTTTAAAACTGATCTTATTAAGAATCATGGGACGTAAAAAACATTCTTCACTAAATACTCTCCTTCCGTTTCTCTTTGAAATGGCAGCTGTTCGCTGTGAGCCCCTTTCACTCTCTCATCTTCCTGAGCTGGGACCTCCACCCTCAATGAACTGCTCTCACCCCCATGGAAACTTCAGCTTTGGATCTCAGTGTATGTTCCGGTGTGCCAAGAGCCATGAGCTCAATGGAACCAGTCAGCTCATCTGCAGCTCCATTGGGTACTGGACCAACTCTCTGCCCAGATGTGTTGGTAAGACATCTGTTAACCCATCATTATTCATGCATTATTGCAGTGGCAAATTGTGCACTTTAATATTGCACATATTGGATTGTAATTGCACTTATAAACTAAAACTTTGACAACATCTGTTATGTACTTTAGTAAAGGAGATGTCAGTGAGTGCTGGCATACTGATGTACGCAGCTGTGGGAGCTGCTTCTTCAGCTGGTCTACTTCTACTCGGAGGACTAATGTTTCTGTTGATGCGGCAATTCACTAAAAAGGGTAACACAATTAATGATCCTGTTCCACTCTTGGCATAATTGTTTTTTTAACCATTCAACTAATAAAATAGTAATTTATTGGTATTTGACAACAACATTATTTGTTTGATATTTAAACAAATTCTTTCATTGATTTATATTATTTAGTGCTAGCAAACCTTTGTATATGTTTAGCTTTATTAAGTCAATTTAGCTTGGTCAGTGATATTAGTTAGGTCAATGATGTGTGTTGGCAATGCAACAAGGACCAATACAGTCACTTTCAGGAACAAATAACTTTTAGCTCTAAAACATGCTTGTTCAACAGATAGTTCACCCCCCAAAAAAACTCTCACCCTAATGTTGTTCCAAACCTCTATGACTTTTTGTTTTCCAACATTTCTCAAAATATCTCCTTTTGTGTTGTGTAGAAGAAAGAAATTCATACAGATTTGAAACGGCATAAGAGTGAGAATGACAGATTTTTTTATTTTTGGGTGAACTATCCCTTTAAACTTTAACTGTCAGTTCTAACAGTATCTTAACATATTTAATGTATTCTTCTCCACTGCAGCTCATTACAGTCTGAATGACTCTTCATGGGAAGAGAATTTGAACCCATCATTTGAATTCAATTAAAATACAAATTGAAGTAACTGATATTTTCCATGTTGTTTTGTGCTTGCAATAAATGAACATTTGAATAGAACTGTGTTATTTGTTGAAACATCCACATGTCATTATGCTAGTATGGATTTATTTCT